ATCTTAGGTTCCCTGATCGGACATAGAATGCCGGAACATGGAAGTCACCGGCACTGCAATTTGTTGCTTGTCAGCAACTCACACGCCAAGTTAAAACGCTGAAAATCCCTCAACTGCTGCATGTAGTGTTTCGCGAGATTCCTGTCAGTCTCTACAGTATCTTGCAGTGACAGTGGAACAGTAAAGTCACATACTGGAGCGCACATCATATCATGGTACGGATTAGAACAGGACAAAACCTCCTGAGTCCTGAGTCCGAGATTTGACATGCATTGGGCTACATTGGGCATTGAAGCCAAGCTGGCCGCGTTCGCAACTCGCTTCTCACGATTCAGTGTTCGAGGTCTTTTGTCTTCCATTCATCGCATGCTCCTTTCGTCCGCTGCGCTGTCGCGGGGTGCCGAGCCCAGGCTGCGGCAGCTGCGGCCTGCGGGGCTTCGGCCACAGAAGGAGCATTGGCTTTTGTTGCGCAGGCAGGTACTTCCCCATTCAAGAGTTGAGCCTAATGTATCATCTATACACGGGAGAATATCATCTGTCTTTGCCTGCATAGGTATTTCGGCAGAACACGTTGTTGCTTGGCGCATGTCTTGGAGGATTCTCCGTGGTGCAGAAAAGGCAGCAAGGTGTTGTCGAGCAGCTGTTCCAAGCTGTGGAGAGCTTTCGACCATCATGTCGTCGGTTGCCTTCTCCGCATCTTTGCACAAACCCAGACCCTGTTTCGCCAACTAAGATTCCACGGTTTCGATTACATGTTCTTTTGCACTGACCTGGACGTGTCTTCCTTTGTGTCTGCTACTGCACGGAGATTGCACAGTCCGCCTCTGGATCAGACCAGATGCTGCGCCTCGGCATGCGGTTACCAGCGACCAGTGTTCAGTACAGCCTGGTGATGGAAAATCTTGCGATTGCTCGGTTTGCAACTGCTGACATGCCCGTCACTGCAACTGCCCGAATCTTGCATGGCTTACTGCGCGTTGTGACAGCACCTATGGTAGAACTTGACAGAAGGGCAAACCATCCAGGAACCGATGCTGGGAGGGTCCTACAGCTTCCAACGATAAGCCTGCGTTGACCGGAGATGCTGGTTCATTGACTTGGCCAAGTCGCTTGCAAGTCGAATGCCTCACTGAAGATCAGCCTGACCTGAGACACGTGTTTTTTGCAAGATCCTTTCTGATTTCAGCCGTTTTTCCGATGATTTAATTGTCAGTGTCAGCCTGGAGCTGCAGCTGGCTACCCGAGACAAAACAGGAGAAGGCTCTGATCTGGCAACGAGTGGCAGCTTCGGGCGCATCTCGGTGCATGTTGTGTCCGGCATGTGGGATCTCTTTGAGCTCCAACCTTCCAGGAGAGCCCGCTGAAGCCTTCTTCAAAGCAGGGAAGACAACGTCGTTGCGCTTCTTGCTCTCGGCTCCTGCCACGTAGAAGAAGCGTGGCCCCGCCGGGAGTAGGAAAAACTGCCTCGGCTCAGGCTCCTATCGTTCTTGTCGCCTTATGGGGAGCTGCGGCTTTGGCCTTGGGATAGAAAATCACACAAAACATCTTTGAGTCTTAGAGGTCTCACGTTCTCGACACTGTCCCGGGCGCGAAATGCTGCGCAGGTGGACAGGTGGGTCTGCAGCGCAGCGCTCCATCAAGGAGCGGCAGCAAGCTCTGGCCATGAACCAAGTCCACTGGGAGCCCGGATCCTCTCCAGGACATACGAGTAGCTTGCTGGGCTTTCGATGAGACAAAGCTGGAAAAGTCTATCGCAATTGCTTTCTGCATGGTTTGTTACCCGAAGCCTCGAGTGCCGGCTGAATCCAAGGTTCGTCTTTGGGTGGCGTCGTGCTGAGCGCCCAGTCTGCTGCCCACCCATCGACATCACAGGGCATCAGTGAGCCTCATGAAGAAGCGTCTTCTTGATTGCAGGCAAAAAGGGCTGAACGGACAACAGCAACTCTCGTGCAACTTCTTGGCTCTCGAGTTTCAATCGCTGTTCATCCAGATCCCCAAGTTGAACCCTCGTCTCGCATCCAAAAGTCAGCAGAGGAACCCTCGAATGAAAGCACTGCCACGGGCAGCAGTGGTCTCGTCGTTTTTGCCAGTCGACCCTTCAGCTCTTCCACCTGCAGACGAGGGCCAGGGGCTCCGACGTTGTGGGCTCAGATAAGATCAGAAGGGCTCTTTAAAGGTCTATCAAGGTCTTGTGCATCGGATCCAATCATGCTGAAACACCACGGGGGGATCTGGTGTAATCTATGCTTTTGAGTGACCATGAAGTTATGTTGGTAGGGAGTTGGAGAGTAGGTTGACATTTTCCAGGCTTTCTCCCGAACAAGTTATCGGGGTTTGCCACCTCGGGCTCCGGCAGGCAGCTTTCCGCCAGGCCGAGGATTTCTTTGAAGCCCCGGCTCGGGTCCTCTGTGAGCAAAGCCAAGAAGTCCAGGCTCTGGTACACCTCGGTGGCTACTTCTCTTGAGACCCGACCCGTGAGTCACGAAAAAAACCGATGAACTGAGCAAACTCGACGTAGAAAACGCTCTCCGCAACCAAGGCCGAGAGGCAGCCGCGCCTCCGGCAGAATGGCTGGCCAACGCATATGTAGTGTTGGAAGCGGACAAGTTCAAGGCTTCTGAGAGAAGCCTCGCAGGGCTTCACGTTCTGGGGCATAGCGAATCGAGTGCAGGGTTCATGACAGTTCGGAGTTAAGGTGGCGCAACCAGCTGATGAAACTGGTTGGCAAACTCCTCTTACCCAGGTTCGCCGGACGATTGATGAAACCCCGGTGCCAGAAACGAGAGATTGTGCAGGGCCGTACCCGGACAAAGCTAATGCGCTCGTGCCGTTGACACAAGAACTCTTGGCAGTGCCACTCGCTCGACGCCGTGTGATCATCTCTGCGCTGGTATACTTCGTGGCTGCAATTCTGTGCGGTTCCACTGCCGCATTCTGTCCACCGTCCGGTAGACAACTATGCCGAGCAAGCGTTAGTCAACCCAGTGTGCCTAATTAGCTAGACAGAAATCGTGCGCGAGGCGCGATGCTAAGCCGGCAAGGTGGTAGCATTAGTTGTTGGTACGGGTCGATGTTGTCATCCTTACTTTGGGTGTAACACGTTCGTCTCTCGGAGCATCCATCTGGCGTTGTTGCTCGTTGCTCTTCGCTCGCTCTTTCTGTCGAGCCTCATTCTCTTCACGCCGCGTTGAACTTACAAGAGCAAAACAGTACAACAAAACCCTGCAGCTGAGCATGTGCCATGCAGGGTCTGTCGAACGCAGACGACAATACGGGCCCGGATGATGTCAACAACGGCATCTGCATCTCTCTCAGGCGACAAGCTAGATCAAGCCTACTCTGGGCCTCAGCGCCGCCGTGCTGGCGAAGTCAACAGCTGCCTCGGGTTTGCTGCTGCTGAACGGCCGGTACTCCACCTTGGCTTTGCCAAGAAGACGATTCACTCCACTAGCCGCACTAGCCCTTACCGTGTCACGACCAAGAACCCTCACAGCACTCACTGCCCGAGACCAGGCCTAGACGAAGATGTAGGCATGGTGTGCGGAATGGAGGCCGTAATGCTTGGCTACATGTCACTTGTCCCAGGATGCCGAGTGTTCCAGTGCTTGCTAGATCGAGATGCTGGGACGAGCAGGGCACCCTCTGGCAGCACTGCCGACCTGCAGTGCCCGTCAGCAGTCTACATTCGTCACAGGCCTAAGGGCGCCGCTTTCCGCCAACTTCTGACACCCGTGAGGCCAAAACCGGATGGCGAACATGACTCAAAGGCTCCGAACCTGAAGCAATCTGAAGCCCATAAGCTACAGCTTCTGTGCCGCGAACCATGGGGCAGCAGTCGACAGGATTCCAGCAGCGAAGACCACGTGGACAACCATGGCGAGCGAATGGTCGAGTGTGCGCGCAGATACGAACGAGCGTAGCATAACCAGGTCAGCTGGGAATCAGACTTTCAGGCCTGGAAGCATACGCTAAGGTACAGGAAGAACTTAAAGTTAAGCGGGTTGGCGTTCTAGTGGCTTTGGGAAGTGTATGGTGTCGAGGTTCAGCTTTGAGCACTTTGAGGATGCCAAACTCAGCAATAGTTTTCAGGGTTCAGACTTCGAGAAGCTCCGGATGAATTTATGGGGTCCCCGCTCATCCTGAATCGCTGTGCCTGCAGCAGTTGCAAAGCTCGGCCTGCTGACCCTGTTCCCGAACAGGAAGTCCCAAACTTCACCCTTTAGCCTCGCTCCGTGGCGTCGCAGGTTCAATGTGACCCGCGACAGATTGGATCAAGGCATGCGAACATACCTGGGGAGCGCCAACCTCCAATAGTACATCAGTTCAGCGGAGTGGCCCTTGATATCGGGCTCGGGGCCAGGCCTCCTACCCGGGGATGCTCGTGATGTGTCGCATATGATCAACCGAGGTGAGAGCAGGTGAAAGCCACAGGGGTCAGGGGTTGAGTGGTGACATGAACGCCGGGCGGGCTCAAGGACAGTCGCACAGAACTAAACAATCACCACTCTTCCGACTTGACCTGTTGATTTAATGGAATTTAAGAGCTTTGGCCAAAAGCTGGTCTGTTCCGAAATTGTTTAGCATGTCAGGTCTTATGGGTCTCATCGGTGAGGACTTGGGAGACTAATGCATTCAGAGTTCAGGGTGATCACGTAGGTCTCGTTGAGCTTGAATTTTTCTTTCGGTGAGGGTGATCAGCGGCAAGTTCGGGGATTCTGGGTGTCAGCATTGATTTACGATCGAAACTCGCCAAGGATACAAAAACTGTTACCACGTCTTATTGACATTTGCCAGAGTCGCTACTTTTCAATCCAGAAAGCAAAAGGGACTTCCTCCACACAACGTGCTCCGTGTGATCTTTTCTTCCTTGCCATTTGCCGTCAGAGGACCCCCCGGATGTACATTCGAATTATCATCGCAGTTTCTCAAATTGGCATCTAGGCATAGCTAGCTAGCAGCTATGCTTTCGAGTGCAGACACCATTCGAGAAACCTTGCAGCTCAGTTTCGTACAGATCCAGCTGGGAGCCTACAGTGCGAAGGTGATGCGCTGAACGCATAAAGAATCGATCGTCGATTGGGTCAAATGTAGCGTCTGTCTGAGTCACACTGCTCGCTACTCACTGCAAATTAAAAGCCCCTGCTTCGAGCACCCCCCATGCCAGCAACAACCTGGTCACAATTTTTCACTTTTCCAATCCATGAACCAAGACCATCGCAGACCGTCCCAGATCGTACTGCCCGATCCGTGGGAACGAGAGGCCGGTCTTCCAATGCGATATGTACCGGCATGAGTATGCTTGCAAATTCAGAGTCCGGAAAGCACCAGGAGCCCTGCAGAAGTCGACGCTCTGCTACGCAGCGGTCAATCTCCAAAGCCTCCGCTCGATTGCAGGGAAGTTTCAGAAGCTCTCGCACGACGAAGCTTTTCTGCAACATCCCACTAATCAAGCACGAAGTGGTCAGAGGTTACTTGTTTCCCTTCCGGGAACCCCTTTCCCATCCTCTTACTTCAATGGGCCACCCATCACCCCTCCCCGCCCAAACTTGGATTGTGGAAGCCCCCCGCGACCAGAGATTCTGACCACGGAAAGTGCACTTGAAGGCGGGGGAACCCGCCCTGATGGGCCTTGATGTGGAGACGACTCTGCACCCCAAAACGGACGACCGGAAGCGTTTACAATAAATGACCTAGCAGAGGAGCCTCCCACCATCTACCTGCCGTCTTAAGTTCAAAAGCCTGTCGCTCTTGGAGTGGCAGTTCCGACCACCTGATTGTAGTTTGCACCAAAAACCCTTTCCGATAACGGACTCGACTTCCTTTCTTTGAGCAGGGACTGCAATGCACTTTGCCACTAAGCCCTCGACCTGCTGACCTTTTAAATCCTTGAGAGAAACAACACCTTGCTCCGGCCTCAGCACTGCCTGAAACTGAGAAGTCGCGGAAGGATTGGAGAGCTTTGCCTTAGTTCAACGTCGTCCTAAACCCTAAACCCTAAACCCAAACCCCTAATTAAGGTCCCGATGCCAAATTCCCGAACCTCTCGATCTGCGAAGGCGTTGAAGGCTCGACTCTTGGATTTCTTGCATCGTGCAGGTCGGGGGATCTTCACCAAACACCGAGGAATGAGAGGATAGCTCTGGCTGCTTAGGCCCGTACCCTTCCACCTAGAGTCCCCGAAGCCCAACTTCAAAGTCCACTCCAAGCCCCAAGCTACCGTTGATACACTGAAATTTAAACTCTGAAGCTTTAAAGCCTTGTAAGTGCCTCAGGAACCCAAACAAAACCGAGCCCCTCACAACCAGAGAGGTCGACGACCAGTCCTGGCACACAGGAGAATTCGGAGTCGAATGCTTTGGGATCCAGGGTGTCAAACTTAGAACTGCCCTACAAGGATTGAAGAAAGCTCCTTGTAGGAATGAGCCTTCGGTTCCGACCAGAGTCGAAAGGATGCGAAGCCGTTTTTTGAGAGCTATTTCCAGGCTTTGACAATCCGAAATCCCGCGCTGGGTTGTTGAGCCTGCCTTCGACCCGCATCAGCGCTCGCACGGCTGCCGGAAGCACCTCCACGTGACGTCCTAGTCCTACAAGCTTGCCAGATGACGACTAGCTGGAGTTCATGCACCGTTTCACGAAGAGTTTTGCAAAAAAAACAGCGTGGCACAGCAATGGCATGCGTGGCCGGTAAAAGCTGGCTGCTGCGACCCTTCTCAACGCCAGCATCCTTGCCTCAACTGAACCATCTGAGGCCGACTGGAGTTTCGCATCTGACTCGCCCACACACCATTTGGTTTGGTTTGCAAGTGCAGATCCTTAGGATGACCTTCTGCTGAGGCCAGAAGGCCAGAAGAGGCATGTATCGCCTTGTCAGGATCCGGAGCAAACTGATGCATTGCCATTAACCGAAAGTTGCGCAAATTCCTGGTGCATCACCGCCAAGTATGCTCCGCCATATGTTCTGCAATGCCCGTCTCTTTGAAGAACTGATCTCCGATGAGACCTATGTCGGAAGCATTGTACTTTAGCACGCTCATCGCGAAGGGTGGTGGCCCGGTCCCTTCCAACACGCTGCAAGCACCAAACTTTCTGCAGCGCTCGGTAATTACTTTGAGCACAAAGTCGAGAAACCCTGAACCTCTGCCTGCACTGAACATGTGATTGTTGATGTTGGCACCGCACACCTTGTGTATGACGAAGGGCCATCTCCACAGATTCGGGCCCCCGACTTCATCGAAGCCGCGCGTCGAGCCATGGTCCATGTCAATGTAGATGCCGCCATATTTCATCACAGCTTCATAGCGCCAAAAATGCGACTTGACAGCACAGAGTTTTGCGTTCATGCTGTCCCTGTTCAGTTCGTCCATGTACTTAATCAAGACTTGAGACTTGAAGGTTCGTGCCTCTGCATAGGCATCCATATACACAATTCCGCCTGCTGGTCGATTCTCCGTTTCTGCATCGAGAACCGCTTTCACTGGAGGAGGTATCGGGGAGTCGGTCCAAAAGAATACACGATAAGTGGGGTTTGCTTTCATGAACTCCAGAACATGGAGTGCTCGCATCATGGCCAGCGGCGAGCAAAGCCAAATAAAATGCAAAATTCTTGGAACCGGCCTTGCGCATCGCCTGGGAATCCATCTGGTGCTGTTTGGGTCGAGCAATCCGACGTTGGGGTGGCCGACAAGGATGGCTCGCTGGACTATAGCTGCCGTTTCCTCCACAATCGGCCGTCCTAGTTCATCGCTTTGCCAGGGGCTCTTGCAAATTGGGTCCGTCCGGTATCCACTTGCCGAACGATCACCGTTGAGGAACGTTACCTCTAGCCAGGTTCCGTCCCTGCCCTGAACAACTTTCGGGCGTGGAAGCTGGTCAACGATACAGCCCTCCTCGTTGATGTCGAGCAATGCAGCATCTGGCGTGTATATGTCCACCCCAGGCCTGTCAGTTGAAGTCAAAAACTGTTCCTGATCCCCCGCATCCTCCCAAGACGTCAAGGAGATGTAGACTAATCCAACAAGTATGCCCGCAGCTGCCGCCCAGACAGAACCACGATGCGGCGCTGCGGCATGGGCATCGTTTGGGTGATCCATCCTCGGGAAGCATTTCTGCAATCTGCACTCCAGCACAGCTCCCCAAGGTTAAAACGTCTTGGATCAACAGCTGCGGCTCAGCCAATCACTAGTGTTTGGTCACACCAGTCTTACCATACATTGCATATATGCGCACTTACAGCTCGGGTGAAAGCATGTTTGCTCCGGCCGTCTTTTAAGAGATGCAAGGGCCTGTAGACACATTGCCAAGTGAAATGTCATCTAAGCCATGAAGTACGTATGGACAACAAGTGTATTGAGGTCAAGTCACATGCCACTCAATTCTACGGGGGCTCGCCTGCAAACTGCGAAATCTGCACTCTCTCCAAGATGGCACTGGCTATCCGACCCGTCTGCTTCAAGGAGCATGTGGAACTTAGGATGTAGGGGTGTGCAGACCCTGGACCATAAGCATTCGAAGAGCCTGCTCCATACATCCTGCGGCCTTGGGAAAACCCAAGCGCTCACACAGCACATGCTTGGAGCAAGTAGCTCAAAGAATAGGATTTCAGAAGTCCGTGGTCGAGTTTTGAAGCTAGGAGGGTGAGGTTTTGTAGATTTTTTGTGGTCAGGGTCAGCTTCTGGGCCTTGCCTTCACTCAGTGCTGCTACGGACCCGGGGGAGTGCAGACATCTTATGAGCACAATCCTACTGCCGCCAAAAAAGATTGGGGGCCGAGGCGCAGGGCAATCAAACACACTTCCGTAATGTGGCAATCTACTTGATCCCTGAACTGTGGGCCCTAAACACTATCCCTCCCTTTAGCTTGCAAGCGACCCCACGGTTCCAAGCTTCGGCCTCTCCCTCCCAAAGAAAAGCGAGCTGAAGCCAGCTCAAGATCGTTCTGCCCCATTTCAGGAAAAACGATCCCCGGGCATTCAAGCACCGCACGGGCCGACAGTCGGTATATATGTACATACTATCGAAGACATAGCACGTAAAGGAACGCACGGACAAATACAACATGTCTGAACAACTAAATAAACGAACCAAACACACACATTCATAAACAAATAAGACAGCAGGTACAGAAAATCTAAATACGGACGACTACATACATGCACGGATAGGTTAACAAATGAAGAGACATGCAAACAATTATGTAAGTAGAAAAAGAGTGAATCAAGAAATGCATACATCAAAATATGTGCCTACATACATATATATATATACATATGTATATATGTATGTACTTATGTACATATCTGTGATACTACTGCAAAAAATAAAGCAACACACGAGTAACGAAATACGTCAATACACATCCCAGAACTGAAAATCAGGAATATTTTTACATATACATGTGCATATATATATATGTATACACACCCACCTTTAGAGACAAATGTGAGAGTGCCTGCGGGCCGGCACCCGTTCCTGCCGCATCGAGCAACTGCAAGCGGCCCACCTGACGTCCATGCGAGGCTTTGTCGTCTCCGGGATTTTTCGGAAGTCGCATGTGCTGTTTGCTTGATAGAGGTCATAGAGTATAGGGTCGATCTCTCTCTCTCTCTCTCGTTCTCTCTTGCTTGCTTGCTCTCGTTCTCTCATTCTCTCTTTCCCCAAGAGGGTTGCCCCCCTAGCCCGCGCGCCTGTTGGCGCCCCTGACTGTTGCAGAGGGCGTTTGAGGGACGGGCTTACTCAACCGAGGCAAGTTTTACCATCGGTGCCCAAAAGCTGTTACAACACAGAGGCAAACTGCAAGCCAGCACAGCGGCCATAGAAAATGCGAAACCCCTATCGGTAAAACAAGCACAGAGGAGACCCCCTGGATAGCAGTTGCCACTCGAAGTCCATGTGGTATCAGCGGAAGTTCTGCCCTCCGACTAAAGCATCCAGCCTAAGAAGAACCCAACTACAAAAGTGCCATGAACTTCAGCCGAATCAGGAATCAAAGTCTTCCTGTTGGAAAGAAGGCTCATCCTACCCGACAAAAATACTGGCCACAGATGAGGGATCGGACTTCCCCTTTTCGTCAACAACACCACTATGACAAGGTTCCGACACATCTCAACCAAGCGAACTGCCAGCACTCACGACAACATGGACAAGGGTCGTCCCCATTCAGTGGCCGAAGTTGTCCTGGGGGAGGCCCCCTCTGAAAGTTCCAAAAGGACCCGAACTGAAAAGCCCCAAAACGGAACCTACTCAAGACAAGGGAACCTGAAGACCGAAGAGAAACCCCCGACCCATAAGCCCCTCCCCAGTCATTCAGAAAGGTGAAATGGGGTTTTTCCCCTCACGCCCGACTCAGCTCTCGCTGTCACTGGTATTAGCCAGGGCTGCTTGTAGTCGTCGTCTCCGGTGTGAGGGTGCCCTCACTCTCTGCACCGCTGGAGTAGGGGTTCTTCCCCTCGACATCGTAGGTTGACAAATCACAGTGTCCGCCTGGCTCATGGGGGTGACATCCCCGCTGTGCTCAAGCTGCGTCGGGATCTCCTCGCAGTCTCTTTGATCTCGTTCTGGTACCAGTTGAATAGGTTGCCCCCATAGAGAGCGTGTCCACCCTGCTAGATGTGCATGAGCTTCTGCCAGGAAGTGGGCCAACTCTTGCTCTGCGAAAGGCATGGCATCACGCAGGATTTCCTGAGCCCGCAGTATCGCATAGGGGGTCGCATCCCCTACCGCCGAAGTTTCTCCTCGATGTGGTACTCCCGGAACGTGCCCTGCAGGAGCGCCACGGTCAGGGTGGGGTTCAGCAGGATGCCGCTCAGGAGCTTTCGCGGATGGGCTGGAGTGTTGAGGTAGGTCGAAGACGGGGTTCTGATTGCTCCCCGAGGCCCGCTCTGTCTTTTCACCCACTTTGCGCTTCTTTGCCGGGCTGCCACTGATGTCCTCGAACTTTGTTTGCAGCCACCGCATCAAGGTGTCCATGTATCCTCTGCATCTCTTTACTGCTCCCAGGGCTTGCTGGAGGGTCTCCCCTACATGAACTATGCTGCCCTCTTCGACAGCCAGATGACTCCAGTCAAGTGCGTCGAGGGCATTGCGGATGCTCGCGATTCCCTCATGTGCCCCTGGGGCTTCTGGGTCTCTGCCCCAGGTGACCAGGACTTGTTTGGCTTCTTTTAATAACTGCTCGACCCTGGCAATCTCGTGGTAAAGGTGTCGCCTGGGGAGGTCCCCGTGGTTCTGCTCCATATGGGCCAAAGTGGCTTCAACTTCAATCAACGGGTTGTCGAGCGCGAAGACCACGGCAGTAGGATCGAAGCTGGGAGCTGCATCTCCTTGCGGGGTTTCCCCCGGAGGATTGTGCTGGTAGTAGATGGCGTGCATCTGGGTGAGATAGCTGCAAGCCCTGTATGCCAGACTCGTGACAGTCTCGCTGGGCTGAGCAAAGGATGCTTGCAACAGATCATGGACGACTTTTGCCAAGGCTTGCAGTAGCTCCTGAAACGTTTGCGGCGGAGCTTCCGGTATCCATGAAAGTCGTCGATGACGGCGTTGTCGGGGTTGTTGACAGCTTCTGTAGTGGGCGTATGCGATGGTCTTGGTGAGGGTATGGGTCTGCCCCTCTGCATGAGGGAGGACGTATCCCCATTGGCATGGGTGGAAGTAGTAGAGGTCGTGGACGATGAAGAGGGGGTTACAGCCCCCCTTTGAGAGGGTTCTCCCATGGACGTTCCACTATCCTCGGGGTCCTCACTTGGCCAGCTTGTCTCATTCTCTCTCTCTTCTTCTTCTCCAGGGCATGAGAGGCTGTTTAGGCCTCCCGGCCACTAGGGCCCCCCATGTTGTTATGGGGCTTTGAGGAGGCGTGAACAACAAGGTGCGACATGTTCCCCCGTCTAGGACACTTCACTGCCAACATAATTAAACCTTTACACGTCTTCCTTTCGGGGAACATGTTGTTTGCAGTACTGCTTGGGGACGCCTATACGGATCAGTCGTGCAGTCACATCAGAGTCTTTGTCCCCCGGATTTGCAATCATAGCTAGACCCAGTGTTAGAAGTACAGCGTTTCCCCCGATGTGATCATGCACACGACGGGGGCCTACATGCATTTCCAGGTGTGCATTCTCTCTCTCTCTCTCTCTCTCTCTCTCTCTCTCTCGCTCTAAATAAATAAATAAGTAAGTAATTAAATAAGTAAACATATATATATATATATACATCTATAATATATGTACAATAGGTATGTTTCGAGTGCAATGTTAACGGTACATCTTGCGTCGTAGAGTGGGCTAGGGGGCCTCTGGACATGGCATCAAGCATCAGTGTAGCTCAGGCATGGCACACCCATCCGGCGCGTGCTCTCGACGCGTGTGCATGTTCAAACCCCTTCATTGGAGAATCGTCCAGGTGCTGCAATCTTTAACATTATTGTGGCCTCTGTAGCCTCTAGCCACTAGCCTCGCATAGCCAGCCTGGATCACCAGAGCCTCTGGATTTCGGACTTCGAGCTATCTCGTGACCCACAGGAGTCATGCGCCCGTGCAAACAGTCGAGTTGAAACAGACCACAAGCCCCTCTGCTAGAAACTGCCGACATGGCCGTCATCTCAAAATACGACATGGTTCACACTCGCCAAACAAGGCGAGAACAGAACGGTTGAGGACGCTGTGACTGTCTCCCTCCCTCCGCCCCTGCCTTCAGCCCAACACGTGCCAGTGCACGAAGCAGGGTGGAGATCTCACCTGAGTTATGGCATTGGTTCTCTGCAGACCGTAAGGTTCGCCAGAGCTGTTGTATTGGGTCGGCCCCACAAGGATCGTGGTGTTTGTAGGTGTCAGCACCTGAGTTGTTGTTCCGGCCGCTTGGTACTTAGAGGGAACCCTGATATCTCATCAAGGGTCGATATGGAAACCTTCGGCTCAGAGCATGGCCGCCGCTAATCTTTGGATTCCACGCAAGGCTGAGCTCCTGTCTCGAGTGCATGCAGAAAAAACAGTTGAAATCTTGCATGCCTGAGAGAACTGGTGCAAAAAAATTGTGTCTTGCCACGAGGACCGACGCGGAGCTACACGTCCACACGTAGTTTTCTGCCGCAAGCTCTAGAATCGTATTTGGGACATGCTTGCAGTGCTTCCGAAACTGTGCCAGGAACCTGGCGAAAACAACAAAGGCATCCTAGAAGCTAATTGCGAATAATTTGGTTCGGGATTCCTAACTGCTCCAAGCTCAAGAAGGAGTGGTCGCGGAGTGAAAAGGTGCAGACGGAAAGCGCAGCCACGTCCTGTAAAGAGTAGCTGCCAGCTGATCCAAACAAATCCTTAGAGTTCAACAGGTTCCAAAAGTGTGTATGTTTCCTGTACGCATTGGCGGGGAATGTTTAGGGATTCATGCCTTAACGAAAGTGCACCTGGAATGCAGGTGCACTTTCGGGCATAGAAACAATCACGTTCTTCTGCACACGCAGAAACACTGTGTACATAGATGCACCTCACAGATACACACCTGCACGAACGTATACATGCACAACAACAGGCAGACACACAATTTCACGTGTCTTTGTGTGTGTCATCGTATGTGCATGTATGCATGTATGCATGCATGCATGTATGTATGTGTGTAGATGTGTGCATGTATGGCCGGAGGCACCAACAACGACGGCTTATCCTTGGTCGGACAGGATTTGGTGCGTGAGTTTTCCAAGACTAGCTGTCTCTCCATCTCCTCGAACTCTCCCCGGGAGGGGGGAGTCACAAGTTTCCCTGACCTCGAGCCGAAGAGCAAGAGGATGGCTGAGGCAACTGCGGCTAAAAGAGAGCCTGATGGGTGGCCCAAGTCGTTGTGGGCCACGGAAAACCACCTGCTCAAGGAGTCTGTGTCTGTTTCTCATGTTCGGGAACTCACGGGCAGGATGTCGAGATTTTGTCAACCCTTACTGCGCGCTTCGATGCCGCGTCCACGCAGATGCGGGTGCAGGTCTTGCAATGTGAGGGTGCTAGTGCTGCAAACACTTTGGTCACAACGCCCGGAAACTCAGGGACAAAGAAACTCGCGCAAACGGATTCGACTTTCACAGCGGGAGAAAACAGGCAAAGCTTCAGGCAAAAGTCTCACATTGCCGGAACAAGGAGGGACCCGACATAGCAACCACCAGTCGTAAAGTCGTAAGAGTCATAAGCCGTCACAAATCCAGGGATCGGGGAAGCAACTGACGCCCCTCTCTCTCATTCAACTTTGTGGCGCGACCGAGCAATGCCCAAGACACACCAATAATATACTACAGCTAGCCCAAACCATTAACTCACAACTTGAGCGGAATGTGCGGTGGGGCAGGAGGCCTCATCGGGTCGTCCCTACCCAACAATTTCAACATAAGTGCGTACGATGACAAGATCTGACACGGACGCTCTCTCGCATTACGTGAAGGCTGCATTTCTGAACGAGTCGCCAGGCGGGGTGATCAGCCGCATATCAGAGACTTGAGCATATCGAAACTTCAAAGAGGGGCAATTTCGCCCAGAGAACTCGTCGCCGATATCCGGCGACAGACAGTCACACTCAGCTCTCTCACCAGGCCAGACACACCGTTTGGGAGTAATTCTACACGTGTGCATCACAGGCCGCTGCATCAGATCACGTCCATGTCTAGGGTTTAGGAGCTTAGGACTTGTTCAGACTCCAAAGACTCTGCAATTGATCCTGCGCACTACTGAGTCACTACTGCTGTCACCACCACACACACTTTGCTTCCCCAGGTCACGATGTATCCATCGCCTAGAAGGGCAGCAAAAGCAACCTACATGGGCTTGTATCTGCTGCACAGTCTTCAGCTGATCCTGCACAGCGCTACTTGCAAGCGCTACTTGCACCAACGCGGTCCGGACCACCCGGAGTCACGACGCTTCCGGGGATGGCAGCAATCGCTTGAACAGAAGGGCATTCTTGAGCTGATCCTGAACCAACTAACTGTCACCACCACAGGCAGGTTTCAACGGTAGTGACTTGGGGTAATCGAATTCCTCCAAGTCACCACCGTTCCATCACCAAGAACAGCAGCAAAAGTGTTTCCGGTGCACATTCTTCAGAGAATCCTAAACGGCCCTGCTATCGCTACCATAGTTAGGACTCCCCAGGTCACCACCGATCCACCGCCAAGTGTCGCCGTGCGAGGCTTGAATCTGCTGCACATTCTGCAGCTGATCATGCACAGCACTTCTGTCGCCACCAAAGCCTCAGGACCCATGTCACGGCGGATCCATCGCCAAGAATGGCGGCGAAAGTGCCGGCAGCTGCTTTGATCTGCTGCATATTCTTTAGCTGACCCGGCGCATCGCCACTGTCACCACCAACGTCTGCAGAACCCCAAGCGACAACTGATCTGTTGGCGAGAACTGCGGAAAAAAGCACGCTCAGAAGCTTGGATCTGTTTCACACCAGACCAACCGTTACCCAGGTCAGACCCGTGGCAAAAGCGGGCAGCACCACGCATGCGAACTTGGCCTGTGTGCAGAGTCCCTGAGTCGCCAGTCTTCAAGTTGGAATCCTTGCTTGCTGCATGTGCATCAAGAACGCGTCTGAGCGAGCCCGGCGGTCTGTGCTCAACAACCATTACACTGTCGCTCCATTTGGCAATGTCGGGGTTTCCAGGCTGGCTGTAGCTTCGACAGGCCGGGGTTGCCAGCTTTACCACTCAGGAGTCGCGGTAGTCACCGCCGTATAGCGAACATGCAGATGACCCCGATTTATTTACGATCAAACAACGTCATTGTCAATAAAGAGTGCTACCCTACAACTGATACTATAAGCAGTACTAGTACTGCATTCATAAGGCTCGTTGGTATGATCATTCGCATTGTTTTTTTGTACCAGTGCTTCAGACTGCCTAATGCTGGAGTGCAGGAAGGCAGCTAGAACGAATGGCGATCAGCTACTACTACTGCCATTGCTACTTCCGCTACTACTGCGGCTGCTAGTACCGCTGCCGCTGGCACTGCTACTGCTACTGCTAAGCTCATCACCAGCAGTAGCAACAACAGTAGCAGAAAGCAGTAGTAGTAGTAGTAGTAGCAGTAGTAGTAGTAGTAGTAGTAGAAGTAGTAGTAGTAGTAGTAGGAGCAGCAGCAGCAGCAGCAGCAGCAGCAACAGTAGTAGTGGCGGTAGCAGTGGCGGTGGCGGTGGTGGCGGTGGTGGTGGTAGTGGCACAGTAGTAGCAGATGTAAGTAGTAGTAGTAGTAGTAGTAGTAGTAGTAGTTAGTAGTAGTTAGTAGTAGTTAGTAGTTAGTAGTAGTTAGTAGTTAGTAGTTAGTAGTTAGTAGTTAGTAGTTAGTAGTTAGTAGTTAGTAGTT